TTTTTTAAGCTTTTGAAGAAGAAACTACATGGAATTTTAAAAATTATATCTGCTTTTATAATAAAGGAATGGTAATTCTAAGATTGTTTAAGCTTATTAACTAAAAATTATTGCCTACTTAATAAAAAAATTATTATTGTCCTCGATAATCTATTAATGATTAATAAAATCTTTACTCTCTTTCCTTATAAGACTGTATGTACACAAATTGGAGCCGTTCCTGAACAATCGGGCGCGAGGCCTGTTAAAATATCGCCCAGCGTGTTATTAAACAACACACCTTGAAGCGTTGGCCGCTAGAGCTAGAGCAGCGCTTGCCGGGGTTCCGTTTCGTGACTCACGCTGGGCGATATTTTTTGTACAAAATCCCGTCCTTAACAAATTAGTGAAATATGACTTTAGATACTTTAAATTGTAGGTAATTTAATTACCTACATAAAATTATTAATTTTCCGATAGGTCGTCTAGATTTTCATGATCAGTAAAAAAATACACATAAATTTGTAAATTGCCAACTTAGCGTCACTTCTTTCGAGTTACTTATTTGATATCATTCTACATAATATGTACCCTTCCCCGTCATAAAGTACAATAAAATGTCTACTAATAATTTTTTCACTTTCAAACTCTAATTCGACCGGAGCAGTTACCAACAGTACCGTAACGACATTGATTTGGGAATGGGTGCTCATAGGTTATCATTACACTTTAATTACGATACGTGGGAACTTAGAAATGTACGATTAGAGAATAGATTTGCCATTCTCTTGCTCACGTAGCGTTTAATTCATGGGTTAGTTGTACAGGGTGTGTCACTCTCACTCAACGGATCACTTAATTTAAAGAAAACGCCAGAATTTCTTAAGGAAGGTTTTTAATAACAATGTATAAAATTCAAACAAACAAAACAACTATAAGACAACGGATTCAAATAATATAAATTATATTTTCCACGCGAGAATGTGATTTACAAGATTCAGGGAATCGTGGATAGATGACGGGAACACTCATTTCATATTAATAATTACATGACAAAATAGAATTTATGAGTAACCCTATTCTTTATACCTTTCGTCGCGACCTTGTTTAGTAGTACGAGGATGGGCTAGTAGATTTTATGCTACTCTTTTTTTCTAGAGCTGGAAAGAGACCACCTAAAAAGCCAGCCATATAGGTCTATACTGTTTAACAACTCTTATTAGATACTACCTTGGAATTCCTATGCCTTTTATTTATGGGTTTCGCGAATAAAATAATTATCAAATATTGGTTTTTCCTTTATCATGGGCTAAGTCAACGTCTGGTGGACGGCAACAGATGCCCACCCATGGCAATAACGTTTTTAAGTTAACTTGTTCAAAATGCTTTCGGATTTCATGGTTACTTGTTTTGATTACCAGCTATATTTTGTAAATTTGTAACTTTTAGTGGATTCTCTTAATGACATTGTTAAAATATACTTGAAACACCTTATTTGTCAGTATTTGTTGCCTAAAAGAGGTTAATATCTATTACCGTATTATTAGGTCCCAAACCGTTCCAAAAACTGGTCAATAAATTATAACGTGTTTTGGATTTTGTTACAAGTGTAACCTGAGTGGTTATTTATTTATTTATCTATCTATATATCTCTACGATCAGTATCGTAACGACGTTAAATTCCAAAAGAGTTTACTATTAACTTCTCGAAAGGGAGTTCATCATTATCATTACACTCTAATTGGTACGTGGCAACATAGAACATAATCTAGTTGTTGGTTGTACAGGGTATTATACCCTCAATCGATAGGGCACCTAATTTATAAAGAACCAAAAGAAACACCAGAACTTTCAAGGAAGATTTTTAATAACATAAAGCAAAAATAACAATAGTAATTGAATAATTTACTGGCGACAAAGTAAACCGAAGTTCAGGATAACACGGATACAGAGCAAAATTTGGAAACATGGTATTAGGCACTACTAAATTAACTCGGAGGTTCTAAAGTTAAGTAGACTGCCCAGTGTGGAACCCAAAGAGAAACTAACTTTCTTTTGAAGATCTCCCCAAATTTCCACCTCCCTTCGACCCCGCCTGACTTGCTAATTTAGACCCTGTCGGTTTGGCAGAATGTCGGGTCTCTGTGACTAAACTGAATTTACAAGTAACCCTACGCCTTCCTCTCGTGGCTCCGTATAAACAACACGTGGGCGGATTAGTCAGCCTCGTTTAATCTATTTATTTATATCTTGGATAATCCGCATAAAAATCAGCTATTTGATGTATTATCTTTTTCCCTACAACATTATAACAATTTATTATTATCTTGGAACTCTGCCTTTTCGAACGTGCTTCGTGCGCTATTATAAATAATTGGTTTTTCCTTTTGCCATGGGCTAAGTCGACCGCATGGCCACAACGATTTAAGTTCAAAATCGTTTCTAATTTATTAGTTTCCGCTACAAAAAACTTTGCTCTTAATGGATACCCGGCTGTCAGTGGTTGTTTCATAGAAGAGGCTAGTAGAACTATTGGGTCCAAATCGTTCTGAAAACTGCCCCACAAATTACGCGCGTTTGGCTTTTGTTACACAAGTTTTGCTTTGTTTGAAAATTTACAAAAATCTACAATTAGTTGGTAAGTAATAATTTGTCTTCATTTCAACTGGGAAAAATGTTACGTTGTAAATGCTAAATTTTCACACAATTCATGCCTTCGGCATTTGAGCTGCAAGTGTGTGAATTTGTGACAGCTTTTTCATGCAGTGGGTACAGTTTAGCAAATGGGATCCTAATAAATAAATAAAAATCAGCTACATTAAAACTTTATAACTTATTCCATCTTCATATTGTGCAAAACCATACTTATCGTATCAACTTCGACGTCACCTGTTATATGGGTGTTGTATAGTAATGAAAACGTAATATTGACAGTTGGTAGAAGGAAGCATAAAAAGATGCGCTTAGGTGGGGATTTCTGAAAGGAAGCCTAGATAGTGGAAGTGAGAACAGCGCGGAGTGAAAAGTAAGACGATCGGTGCACGGTGAAAATATAGGAGTAGTGAAAAATTAAGTGTTTAGCCGGTATTAATTAGCAGGTAATATTCTTTAAGTACTTTGTTGTTAATTGTTCTATGTAATCTTATTATTGTGATGGTTATAGTGACAGAATCATGTGGTCAGGTAATAATTATGAAAAACAAATATTTTATAGTTGAATTTTATACAGAACGGTTGTATTATCTTTTATAGAAAACAGGTGGAGGAATTACGAAGCAGTCTAGAGAAGGTCCGAGGAAGTTTGACGAAGTATAGAGAAGTTTTTGTACAGAATTCAGGGAGCGGTTTACCCCTCGGGCATCAGTCTCTTCCCTATAATTTTATGAATTTTGTTTCTATTTTGTTTTCTCCCTCTTAAACATTGATGATTTGACAATACTCACATAGTTATTTGTAAAACATTGTTACTTTTAATATTGAAGAATAGGAATGTATGGAGCAGCTTAAAAATGATTTATATTAAATGGCCATTATATATGTGTTTCTTTTCACGATATCTATTGTAAATACTTAGAAGTTATCTCATACAAGTTCCGTAAACTACTAGAATACAGGATGATATCAGTGACGTCACTAAGTAATCAATATTAAACCTGCTTTAATAATGGAGTTTAGGTCGCCTATTCACTAACAGATGTCATTCAATAGACATTGCGTTTAGCTATTTTTATTATTACTTTAAAACAACACACTAATAATTACTAAATAGTAAAAAAACAATTGTACTAAATTTATTCATGTGTTAAAATATATTTTTTTATAACTAGCTTCTTTTCTTTTTCTTGTTCACCATTTGGGATGTCCTTTCTCCGCTCAATAAATGCATGACTGAAACAAGCAGTTTCCTAAATATTATCATGATCGATACTATCACAACGATGAAGACTAACACTACATCTAGGAGGAGATTCTGGAACCTATACAGGCTCATGCCCTTGTTTTGAAGATGCTTCGATCCGTTGTACCTCATAACGAATTCTGCCCAGTAGATGGCTGTATCTATTGGCTTCATGGGTTGATCCCTTAGGAGAACTGATTTCTTTTTTATTTTTTCACTGTAACTATAAAATTATTGTTAGTATGAATTAATTTTCAGTTGCAGTTGTAAAAGATTGTACTTATTACTAATTTTGAATTACGAAATTAAGTTTAGCAGCAGTAACAATAAAAATTTAAAATCGAAAAGTAAAATAGATAAAGTTATACACAAACAAATACAGAATACAAACAAATATGTACAAAATAAACTTTGCCAAATTTCTATAGCCAAAAAAATTGAAAAATAAATTTCAGTAGGTAGTATGAACATGTACAGCGTATTAAGAAATGATTGGGTTACCCATCAGTCTTCCTTGGTTTAAAATAAACAGATTTAACTTAAGTTGAAAAAGTTAAAGTATGTCTCAACTTTTATTTACATCATTTTTTTTTGTTGACAAAAATTTGAGAAAAACGTGCTCAGGGAGATGATGTTTGTTGTTTTTTTTTCCTTTTATTAGACTATAATAGACCTAAATGTTTAGTTCTTCTTAACTGATAATGTAGTAACAAATTCACATCACTTTTCTCTCAAATAATGCTGTAAATAAAATGAGTCATAAAACACATGCATATTCTTAAAAGCCTTAGCAACAAAGAAAAAAAGACTGTCTCCAATACATTTAGCGGCCTCTATGTTTTATGTAAAAAAATAAAATTAAAAATAAAAGAAACTTTTCCAGAAACTGTACAAGATTGGCGGATCATCAAATAGTACTGGACAAGAATACTGCCGTATCTGGACTGTCTTCAAAACTTGCAAAGGTATTTTAGAAAAATTTATTTTGTTTTTTATTAACATTTTACCCCCTTAATTTTTTTATTTTTTGAGTTAAAGAAAAATATTTAAAATAAAAGTTGTAGATAATCTTTCTATGAGTTTAATGAGTTTATGAAAATATAAATTATACAGGGAGTTCCAAAGATGCGAACCAAACTTATGGTTTTCTTAAATGGAACACCCTGTATATTATTCGATTTTCGAAATCCCTGTTTCTTCCTGATTCCAACATTGTATATATTAAAAAAGTTAAAGGGGATAAAATGTTATATGAATAACCCTGTGCAGTGATTATGTTTATGTAAACTTTGAAAATGTTGAAGTCTGGAAAGCTAAGTCAATATTGAAGGATTTATGCTTCCAAAGATATTTTAAATGCCGATAAATTGGCTTTTTTCCGTACACTTCATACTACAAAGAACTCAGGATATTATTGTACTTAAACATGGAAGGATATAAGGAAAAGCCGTCAATTATTATTAGTAAAAGTTAAGAAACCTATATATTTTAAAGGAACGTATGTGGATAAATTGGATCTCCAACAAAGAAACATCGAAAGAAGCTTTGCAAGAAACTTTGGATGTTATATCAATATTATGACGGTAAATCAAATATAAACGGAATTTTTGTTCCTGATTTTTGTTCTTCGACTGGTAGGTCTGAGCTCGCGCTTCTAGTATACTTGAGTGGGGTCATTAGAAGTGCGGAAAGCCGGCCATACTACACTCCCAAAAAATTCGTCAGTAACGCTCACAACAGGTACATATTTCCACTGCACAAAGCATAATTATAAAATTTCTTGCTCGTGAGTTCAAGCGACGGAAATTTTAGGGAGATTGACTGCATAGTTCGGGGACCACAAACATTGTCAAGGAAGGACGAGAACGAGTGGAAAATCAGGAACGCGATCGCCGCCCTCGGATCAGTTTTGCAAACGAAAACTTTAGGGCGGTTCGAGATATTCTTGAAGACGATCGATGGGAGAGAGCATCTGAAATAGCAGAATAAGTCATGGGAGCTGTAAAGCGTTCATCACAAACGACATATAGTTCCGTAAAGTATGTGTCAGATGGGTCCCTCACATTTTGACCATAGATCAGAAGTTAAGACGTTTGGAGGTCTGTTACAGGCTTACAACAAGGTTTGCAAAAGAAGGTGATGAGTCGGATCGTCACCTGTGATGAAACGTGGATCCAATACTACACTCCCGAGTCGAAACAAGCCAGTATGGAGTGGCGGAGGAAAAGGCATGCAGCCCCAGTGAAAGCCAAGACTCGACTGTCAGCTGGCAAGGTTCTTTCAACCGTTTTTTTCTGGCGAAGCTTTCTGCTCGTTGATTGTTTGCATGAGCTACTTACTATTGCGAGTTGTTGAATGAGGTGATGGCTGGATATCGCCGCAAATAGCAGACCAACCGATTCGAGAGGTCATACTCCTCCACGAGGGCTCATATTGCAGCTCTAACGGTCTCAAAACTAGAAGAAATGCACTGACTCAACTTGATGATCCTCCCTACATTAAAGAAGCTCTAGGAGGGCAAGGATTTGAAGATGACGAGTATGTGGAGGGATTCGTGCGCGATTGGCTACTGACGCAACCAGATTCATTCTACGATGCTGCTATAAAAAACCTTCTCGCTGGGAAAAATTTACTTCTAAGGCAGGACTGTGTAGAAAAATAAATTATATTTGTCTTTTATTTTTCAATAAATAATTAAAAAAATAGAAAATCCAGTTTATATTTTGATGTACTCTCGTATTAAAAAACTAGGATAACAAGATGAGGGGTGAAGGGAGAACAAGATGTAGTATGCTTTATTTGAATATTAATATATGAAATAAAATGGAACTTGGTTTTTTATTATTTCTCCTATATTCCAGACATTTTAGGATTCTCTCTTGGAGTCCGTTATTACGTTGTTATACTCTAATATGTAGTAGTTAATTTTTTGACTATGGACTTTTGGTGTTTTCTTATTGATGTTTGACTGTTTTAGTAAGTCTTCAGCATATTATACAAATCATAATAAATATTTACCTGCTGTCATTAATTATTTTACTTATGGCGTCGAAGAGGTTGTCCTCGTTCAATTCACTTATCAACAATTTAATTGCTATTCCTTCATGCACTGAATGGGCTACATTACTGTTTTGTTCTCCAAACAATGGTACTCCTATCATAGGGGTGGCGTGGTAAATAGCTTCTATTTTGCTCATCAAACCACCATGTGTTATAAAAACTTTAACATTGGGATGTGCTACAATTAAAGTAAATTGTTATGTAAAATATTTTTTCTATATCTAGTTCTGAAACTGAATGGTGTTATTTGAGCACCTGTTATTATATTGATAATCAATGTACACCCTGATATTTGATTGTAACAAAAATAATGGTTGGTTGTTGCCATGATCATAATAAGTACAAAATAGAAAAACTTAACACAACAATTACATACATGAAAGAACCCGTGTAAAAATAGATTAAAGTATGAGATATCTGAAGCACTCTTCATACATGTTTGCATAGAGTTATAATAAAATTTTTAATATATGCAACGAAGTCGAAAATCTTTAAAAGAAGGAAATCCTAAAAGGAACAAGAGTTTCAATTAAAGAAGATTTAACTTCCATCAGTAACGTCGCCATATTGAAGAAAGTAATTACAAGATAATAATAGTGGTAAAACGGATAATGCAATAAAAATTATATTCTGTTTAAACCAAATGCATTAACAGTAATTTAATATGTGATGGCACTACCTTTTATACCGTCTACTTGACCTATTCATTTAACTCTTTTTCCAATGTTTTTTTTTTGTTATACTTGTATTTACTTTTGTATATTCTATAAAAACTGATATTTCTATGTTCTTTTCTAAGGTATTTTACCCTTGTAAGCATGTTTATTTCCCATTTTATTCATTCTCCTTAATTCGTTATAATTTATAGATATTCCAGGTAGGTATGGTTCTTTTATTTACGAAAGAGTATTGAGCATTTTTGTATCAACTTCCAAAAATTAAATACAAACTTCTTATTGATCCTCTTGAAGAGTCCATTTCATTATGTATGCAGCATGAAGCAGCGGCATATGCCTGGTTGTCATTTAAGGAATGTTCTATGAAAGTATCAAATATTTCATATTGTGCATTCTTTTCTTCGAACTATCGTCTTGTAAAAGTCCTAAATACTGAAATGAAGCTAGACTTTATATTTTCCTTTGTTAAATTACGCGTAATGTTTTAGGAATTTCACCTGTACCTCCAATAACTATGACGATAGTCATCACCCTCTCCATATCTCACATTGTTTTAATTCCATTAGGTATGCATTTTATCTTATCTGGCTTGTTTATTGTTGTGAAGTCTGGTCTCGGAGACATATTATTTTATCTGTAATGATGATGCGGTAGTAAAATCTATATGTGTTTGTGGTCTGAACAGATAAATAGTCTATATTTAACGTGCTGTATCATTGCATCCTTAATTAATTAATGTAATGTAGTATTGCAATTATGGATCCCTTCATTTCTGCTAAAATATTTTCCCAATGAAGCTATGCTAATGTTAGGAGTGCTGTCTGTAAGAATGCGGCTCTGTTCGCCGCATCCATTAATATATAGACTGTTTATGTTAATGTCAAGTAGTGTAGAGACTAGAAAGAGTTAGTTACGAATAAGGGATTTTTGAATAGGGACTCACTGGTTGAGTTGCTTGACGATTGGTCGAGTGTTGTATGTTCAATCTGAATACATCCTATTTTTGAAGTAATTGTTTCGACTTTTAATTCTTAATTATCTCTAACACTAAAGACGTTTTGGTGTCCAGGTGTGCAAGAAATATTGGAGAATTTTCTATGTAGAGGTTTAGATTTCTGTGCGGCTATTTTCTCTCGCTCTGTCAGCATTGCTGTTGACGGTATTGATTGTTTGCTAGGTTTAAAGGTATCAATTTTTTATCACTCTCAATTGCTGCACGATGTAATGTACTATTTTCTGCATTTTTCAAAAGTACTAGCTTAATCTGAATGCTGTGTTGGGTTTCCATATTTTGTATACCTCTGTCACCTCTGGATCTAGGGAGGTGACGTCTTTCTATAGAGCTCCTTGACTGGTGTTAAGATATTTTGTGCACATCGTTTTTATCATTCTTTTCAAATATTGTGGGTTTTTATTCCATTTTATCGTTCCAAATGTATATGTATAAATTGATAACGCGTAGGTATTAATTGCTTGGATTTTGATTTATCCGGCAAATATACGCCTTAGGTACGCTCTTCAAGTATATCTGGAATTATTTTCTAATTTCTTGCAATAATTGTGGTTAGTTGCAAATATTCGTACGCGGCTATAATCGCAATGTGTATGACGCCAGTTTTAAACTTCAGCTACCAAGGATGGGGAACATTGTCAAAAGTCTTCCGACAAACGAAATAAGCTACGAATTTTTAAAAAACTCTATTATAGAGTCTATGGTAGTTAGTGTCCGAGTTCCCCATACTCATTTGTTACATACATTTTCTTCTTCTGTTGCGACGCTAGAGGTGAGTAATTTATACATGTGTATAGGCATTTTATAGGTCCATATTTTCTGAAATTTGAGTTGTGTTTTTAGAAGACAAAATGTAGTCTCACTTGCTAGAAGAGTGGGTATAATCTTTCCTTATGCAATAAGTTTATTAAAGAGTGCAGCTACTACCTTTTGTGTTGATAACAAATATTTAATATAAATTATGTAGATGCTAATTTCCCCAGGACTCTTCCAATTGCTGCATCTCATGTACGGTATTCTGTCATCTTTTTATTTCATCTGTTATCCATTTGCCTTTTACATTATGCTCACTATGATCTGACCATGTATTTCCCCAAAACGAAGTGAGTTTTGTTTCCTTTTTTCTTTTTCTGTCTACTTTGGTGCTCCATCTTCGGTGAAATAATTTCTGACTCTAGGGTCTAATATTTCTTACCTTAATGTGTTCTCAGAATTCTAGTAGAAATTTGATTGTATTACATATTGTCAAAAAAGTCTTCCTGCGTCCTCTCTGATTTTTTCCATTCATTTGAATTTTACTATTATTGTTATAAATAATATAATAAATAGTAATAGTGATAGTAGTAGTAGTA